CCCCAACCCTGGCAGTGTTCACAGCCAGGTTGGCTGAGCCTTGAGCAACCTGCTCTGGTGGGAGGTGTCCCTGTCCAGGGCAGGGGTTGGGGCTGGGTGAGCTCTAACATCCATTCCAGCCCCTAAAATTCTATGATTCTCTCATGTGGGGACCTTGGTGGCAGGATGTGCCAGTGGTCAGAGCCCACACATCCTGGCAGGGTATGGGGGCATACAGACGATGCCCACAGCTCTCACCTCTGCAGGAACATCTAATCTCCTTTCTCTATATTTATCCTTTCCTGCTGGGATCTCACCCAACTCTCCAGTGCAAATCTGCTCCCTCTTGCCCAGAGTTTTCTTGCACTCATCAGCAAAAGTTCCTGAGCTCCTGCAACACACCTGGGCAGAAGCAGCTCAAGGGAATGACCTCACTGAATGCAGCTTTACTTCCCACAGTGGCAAGGAGAGGTGCAAATCCCACCTGATCCCTTCAGCCTGAAAACAGCAGTGTTGGGGGAAACACATGTCTTCAGGAAGGTCCAGAATGCTCAGGGGGAAACCCATGGTTATTTAGGGCAGAAAAATCCACTTTGCCATGAGAGACCTGAACCCTCATCTTTCTGCTCAAAACTAGGTGCACAAAAAGCCTCACCTCCACCCAGGGGGGGACAGTTTTAGCCTGAATTTGATTAGGGAGTAAATGTTATGACCTTTATCCCCAGGTTATGACCAGAATGACAAAGCTTTATGTATTTACTCACACTGAGTTTTCCTCATCACCACATCACCAGGTCCATCATGGGGAGCTGCTATCTGCTGGTGGAACTCCATGCAGATCCCATGTTTTTGGGGAGGGAGAGGCCCCTCAAAGGCCCCCAGGGGTCTGGCAGGTCTGGCAGCAAGCCATGCCTCATGCCCACCATGCAAACTTTGGGTGTGCAGGGCACAGCTGTGCCCACCCGATGGGCTTCAAAGCCCATTGTGGCACTGTGAGGAGCAATAATTATAAGGGAGGCCTAGAGTTGGCCATGGCTTTTGGCTGATGCCTCATGCCAGGAAAACCCACACACACCAGGGAAGAAAAAAGCAGCCATGCAGTTTTCTGATGCCAGCACAGCAGTAAAGAGAGAGACAGCAGCATCATGGTCTCCCAGTGCTCCCAGTGGGGCTGGAAGAGCTGGAGGGTCTGCCCTGCTGGGGGGGATGCAGGGGGCTCAGGACAGGACAGCTCTGCTGCCCACTGTGCCATGCTGTCCTGGTCCAGGAAAGCAGTGAGCATGTGCCCAGTTTGAGCTTAAAATTTCATCAGGGCTTGAGAACAGAGAGTGCTGGTGGGAGGTGATTTTTAATGTAATTAAAGGGTTTCTCTTCCAGGCTGCTGAAAAAAAAATAGAGAAAGCTGCCTATAAAAACACATATTTCACCCAAGATCCCTAAAAAGCACCAGGATAATTAGTGTGTGCTGAAGTGCCTTGCACAGCCAGCACCTATGTTTAGCTCCAGGAGTGAAGATGCCTGGGCAGGACACCAGCAGCAGCCTCATAGCAGCTTGCAGGGACAGCAGCAGGAAAGGTGGCCAAGGCAGTCAAACTTCTCCACATGAAATTTATTTATTAGTAGTACCTTAAAAAGCGCCACATCTCAGGCTTGGAGCATTGGGCTTGGTTTCTTCATGCCTTTGCAAGGACTCTGGCTCTCCAAGGCAGCAGGGCTAGGAGGGATCATCCACTTAGTACTCCCATTCTGCTCTGCTCTGGTGAAACCCACCTGGAATACTGCACACAGATCTGGTCCCTCAGTGTGAGAAGGACATGGAACTGTTGGAGCAAGTCCAGAGGAGGCCACCAAGTTGCTAAGGGGACTGGAACATCTCCCCTAAGAGGACAGGCTGAGGGAGTTGGGGCTGTTGAGGCTGGAGAAGAAAAGGGTGTGTGGTGTCCTGATAGTAGTCTGTCAATATCTGAAGGGGCTCCAGGGGAGCTAGAGAGGACTTTGAACACTGCCAGGGCTGGGGCAGCCACAGCCTCCCTGGGCAACCTGGGCCAGTGTCTCACCACCCTCACAGGGAAAAACTTCTGCCTAACATCTAACCTACATTTCCCTCTTTCAATTTGTGCCCATTGCCCCTTGTCGTGTCCCTGCAGCTCCTAACACAGATCCCTCTGCAGCTTCCCTGGGGACCCTTCAGCTC